TCTAAATATTTCCTGCTAAATTTATATATATGATCTTAATAACACCATTTTATGACATGAATAGAATTAATATAGTATCATGTAATTGCAATTCTTTTATCAAATATATCTTATACCCGATAATGATACTTAAATGTATCTAATTAAATATATATATTCATCAATGTATATATAATAATTAATAGTTTTCTGCCCGATCCTGCCCGTTCCTGTAAATCGTCGAACCCCTAGTCACGGCATTTTGGTGATGTTTTCTACACCAAATCGCATATATGTCCAGATAGGATGTGACATATAGAAGTAAATAACTTCAAGAAATGCGATATTTCACAGTAATATGGGGTAGTATTGGGTAGTATTGGGTAGTATTGGGTAGTATTGGGTGGTATTGGGTAGTATTGGGTGGTATTGGGTAGTATTGGGTAATTAGACGCGCCGCCGCTAAGCATGAGGAGTGCGGTAACGTGAGCAGTGTAGTCAAGAACCATGCGTGTCAACACAGGGAGGGTAGACATTTTCATCCTATCTGAACACGTCTTCAAATTTTGTTAAAACTTGCAATATTCAAGACTATTTGAGTTGTCTACAGTGACTTCAACAGTCAAGGATTGTCGACTTTCTGTTTCCCTGTTTCTTACAAACATGGTCAGTTCACAGGCACTAGCATCGTCTGTCAATACACCCATACTATAAACCTTGCTTATTGTTTACAGTATGGATGTATTTTTTTGACAAACGAGGCTAGTGTATGTAAACAGTGATCATTACATAATTAATATAATATACAGATTACAGTGTACTGTCTTAGCGGTGCGACAAATCACCGAAACGGACTAAATCGGAACCGAAACGGAGTCGAAATGGAAACCATAAGCTATTTAAAGGGAATTCAATACAGTTTAGATTGTGTGTGAACAAAACGGATCCCGATCAGAACCGAAACGAAAGTGTAAATGGTATTTTTTTTTGTAAATTTGAGCTATGTATATTTATTTGTTATGTAGGCCTATATATTGTGTATATTATATATGCCAAATACATACACTAATGGCATGTATCTATGGTATATAAATACAAGCACATGACTATAGATGTTCATACATTAGAAAGGCAGTTATATCATAATGCAGTGACGGGACCGAAACGAAAGGCATACGATTAATCCAAGCGAATTGAATTCATTTGAAAACAGAAAACACTTGAATAATATGTGTGACCGTTTAAAACGAACAGAACCAGAACTGAACCGAAAAGAAACGTATTTAAGGGTATTAAATATACATTTCATCACTCTTTGTGACCGAAATGGACGTAAACGGAACCATAACATAACAAAAAAGAAATATCTGAAGTTATTTAACGCAAAGTTAACCCATGTGAAAAATGTGTTTGACCGTTTATAACAAACCGAAAAAAATGTATGCAGTTATTTTAAAGGGTATTCAATACACATTTGATCACTGCGTTTGGCCAAAACGGACCTAAAACGAAACAAGAAAAGATACACCAAGTTTTTTTAAAGGGTATAAAATGCATTTGAATGCGGTGAGTGACCGAAAAGAACCAAAACGGCACCAAGAAGAAATACATTCTGTTATTTAAAGCGAATTAAAACACTTTTGAATAATGCATATATATGTGTGTAACTGTTTAAAACGAACAGAACCAAAAACATATATTCTATTAAAAAAAAAAAATGTCTTAGATGTAAACAGAGCAGTGTTTTGTTTTACATTCGTGATGCACCAGGAGAGAGAACAAAATGGTTCTAGTTAACAATCTATCCCAATCCCGCTGATGGTCAGCAATATTTCCTCCTGGGTATTGATTTGTACTCACATGTTTGTCAAATGATTTTATAACTGAATTTTTAAAAACTGAAAAGAATATGGGGAGGGGGTCGAAGGGTATTATGGCTTACATAACTTTCTAATTATTATATCTATCCAGGGGTTTAGGGTTTACATGGTACTGTTGTACCTTTTAGGTCAATTTAAAGGACCCGTTCACCATCAAAACAGTGTGTACGTTTTTCCTAACTTACCACTTTCAAATTCCTGATTGGGAAATCTAAAAGTAAAATGCATAAATTTAAATCAATTCAACAGTCAAAATAATGATTATCCAGAGATGTATTTAAATGTCTCTGGATTGTCCAATATTTTCAATGTTGATGATGTTTCTCTATTTCATCTTCTCCCAGGATCGCTGTTTCTGAAACCCCCCTGATGAACCACTAGATTCTACCTTTAAGAATATGTTTGATTTCAAATATCATTTTCAGCTTATCCTTTATATCCTAAATATAGTTGCATGTACAAAAAAAGTGTTGAACTCTATTTTTCAGTGTTTGCTGCCTTTGTTTTGGTTCATCCAAATAATTTCTGCTGTGCAAGGTAAGAACACAGTGTTGTTGATAAAACATGCAGTTCATTTTGCTTGTTACATGTTACATTTTGTACAATAAAGAGCAATTAGATGACATCATATTTTTCTGATGAAATTATCCAGTTTTAAAGACAAAATACAAAGAATGTATTTCAGCAGCACTTGTGTTAGGTGAAATCAAATTTGTCCCGAGACTCATATACCTAAACATTCCAAAATCTAATAAGAAAACAGTATCTCGGAATAATAGCTAGCTCAAATCACACATGTTATTATTTTTAAAATGGTTTCTCAAGTTATTGATGAATGTTTTTGAATGGATTCCTTCAGCATTTAAAAGTTTATTTTCACCTGTGAAAGTATTTTTAAATTTTGATTATTTTATCTTAGACTTCCCAGCCTTAAACCACATCAGAACAAGGACCTCTGCTTCTACCCAGACACATGCATCGCAGGCCCTGATTGGTCGAATTGTTGGCAAAAGAGCCAATGAGTTTACAGCACATGTTCAACCAGATCTTGGTCCTAAAGATAGAGACACATTTAAGGTAAGTTGTGATAAATGAAAATTTCTTGTCTATTGTTTCCAGTTTTTCTCTGTTGTAATTAAAGTCTGTCCAATTCATCCTTTTTTTTTTCATTTCAAATGTCTAATCAGATTTCAAGATTCATAAGTGTAAAACAAGATGTCACATATATACAGCAATCAATACACATGTAGGAAAACAATAACAACGGTTGGAGAAGATAAATATATAGTATTAAAGTATTCATTTTTGCTTTTTCTAAAATTCTACTAATATGTGGCATAACATAAATATTACACTGATAAAATAAACCTTTTATCTTTATTTTTCGGGATATGTATGCATATGCTAGTATTAATGTTTATTTTACAGTAAGCATCAGAGTTACAAATGAGCTTTAACGATTCCATCACTGATTAAACCGATTCTCATTTCAAACAGATTTAACAGATACAATTTTATTTGCTTCCAGATTTGGTCATCTGGTTCTCATGTCAATATTACCGGGACAACTGGAGTGGCAGTTGCCATGGGACTGTATTACTACTTGACCAATCACTGTGGGTGTCAGTACACATGGGCAGGGCAACAGATGAACATCCCATCTCCCCTACCCAAGGTTCCTGCCCCAGGGATTAAAGTGACTACCAATGACAGGTATTGCTTGGTCATTTACTATCAATAGATAATCTTTGTTCTGTACTGGCTTCAGTTCTGTGGTTTGGACAGAACTTTACATAACCATTCAGTACACAAATACATTGTACTGAGTACATGTGATATCCCCTGTTTTATTCGGTTTGTTGTCTCTGTATGTTAACCAGGTTCCGGTACTACCAGAATGTGTGTACGGTAGACTACTCGTTTGTGTGGTATAACTGGACCGACTGGCAACAACAGTTGGACTGGATGGCTCTACACGGAATCAACATGCCACTGGCCTTCACTGGACAGGAGGCCATATTTCAACGGGTCAGGAATATAATTAATTTGCATGAAACTTTTGAATACTTAAATCTTATTTGATTTATATATGTATGTATCAGATGTATTAGAGGTACATTTTGTGGATACAACAGCTTCACAAACCACATTTTCCATAAATGTTCAAAATATCTATTCAGTTTGTTCATGTTTTGCTTACTTACTGTAATTCAATAATAAAATGTGGTTTGACTACGACCAGCACCAATGAGAACCTTTGGCAACTTAATTCTGGATAATTGTTAAAGGTTTACAACTAACTATACAAACATATCTTTCAAAACCTAAATGAAACTTGTCAAATTTTAGATCTCTGAATTTACTTCAGAGTCTGCAGACACATTAAAGATGTTGGAAGTACTTGAAAAATAATAACATTCAACTGTATTGTGAGTAATTTAAACAAAAAGGCCATTATGATGTTGATAATTGCAGGTGTACATGGAAATGGGACTCACTATGAAAGAAGTCCAGGATCACTTTGCAGGTCCAGCTTTTCTTGCCTGGTAAAATATTAAAGAATCTATCAAAAGATCACACTTTCATTTGTACATGTACCTCCCTTCATATCCGGGTATCCAGACTCATTATAATTAAACAAATTGAATTTGCAATCTGTCCATATTTCTGTTCTGAATTATTTTTTTTTAAATGGGAGAGGAGAAGAGTTGGTTTTGGGGTTAGGAACCAAGTCCTTTTAGTGAAGAAGTACACAACTATGTAACTATGATACCAGCCAATATAGTTAACGATGAGTTATCTCCCCATTATATGAGTTTTTCCCAGAGGATGCCTGCAGTGTAGGTTACAGAAATCAGTAAACAAACAAACTCATGTGCATGTAGTTCATGTCATCTGGTAAAATTTGAATATTAACATGAATTTCTGCAATTTAACAAGACAGCTAAGACAGCGGAACTTGGTGGACTAATGTGTCTGAATATATAGGTATAGTTTCTCCAGCTATCGTATGTGTTATCTCCCCTGACAGGTCAAGAATGGGTAACATGCATGGTTGGAGTGGACCTCTACCTCAATCCTGGATTGATCAGCAGTTGGTCCTACAACACAAGATCCTTGACCGGACCAAGGAGCTTGGAATGATTCCTGTCCTGCCAGGTTTTGCTGGACATGTCCCTAGTGCCATCACAAGGTAAATTGATGTATATAGATGTGATGACACTGTACCTTAGACTTGTGTGGTAAGGAATTAGTATATTTTCTACTAACTCACTGTTACTGTTAGTAGAAAGAGGACAACTTTTTAAATTTGCAAACACAGATTCACCATCATTAAGGATGTCTGATGTTTTCTCTGTGACAATGTTTATGACCATGCCAATTATAAAAGGAATGATTTTTGCAGTGATTTTATTTTGTGGTATTATGGCAGTAGGTAAAAATAACAAATTACATACTCTTGTGAACCATTCTGTTTCAACCTATATGAACATGATGTCTATATCATAGAAGAAAAATCAATTAAAATGTCCATATTTAAATGTTTTATCCAGAAACAGAGATGTGATTAAACATTTTATCATGTTATAAACTTCACCTTAAACATAGCCGAATCATTTTGAAACCACCAATTTGACAATTGGTACATAAATTATAGTTTGTTGTCATGAGTGTGCCATTTCCACCTGTTATGCAGTGTTTAAGGCAGAGTTATATCTAATTAAAACATGTGAAGTTACATTGCCATTCCAGTTTATGTTAGTAGATGTATCTTAAAACCTTCATTTTCGACGTTACAGAATTTTTCCAAATGCAAATGTGTCCCATTTACCTGACTGGGGTCACTTCAATTCCTCGTTCTGCTGGTAAGTAATGTTAATTAATCTATTACTGTACACCAAATCTGTTATGATGATGATTGCAGGAAATATCTCACATTATATTTCATCTGTAAAAAAAGTTCTCCAGACATTAGTATCATTTCCTTGCAGTATTTCTGTTTTTATAAGAACTCATTATCAAGCAATTTGTAGAACTACATTTGTATGTAATCAATATAGGTACAATTTGGACATGAACTTGTGGGAATTTTCTTCTCATTTATTGTATGCATCTACTTTTTCCCTCAAATACTGGTGCCTAGTAATTATAGTTACTGCATTACTGTTTCATTTTTCTTTTTCATGGCAAACAGAACATATATCAAGATGTAGATTATAATCAGTTTCACTGTTTATGTTCATGTTAATATTGATAAATATTTTGCCTGGTAAATTTTCATAACATGTATAAATTCTGTCGTTTTGTGCTTCTTCAGTAACTTACTGTTGGACTTTAGCGATCCTCTGTTCAAGAGGATAGGACATGAAGTGGTGAAGGAGGTGAGGTCACTTCACTGGTCAATACCAATATACATACCATAGCTACCAGGCACAGCTGACCGGCATAATACACAAGGTCACTGGTCAATACCAATATACATACCATAGCTACAAGGCACAGCTGACCGGCATAATACACAAGGTCATGACCTCCTTATGTTTTACATTTTGGATAGTTCATCTCAAAGGTCTGTCTCAGCTGTCGTAGCAATGCTAATTTTATAGAGAAGATACATGTATTTATGGGAAGATGGTGTATATACAGGGCGACTTTTATACAAACTCATGTGAAAGTATCTTAAATGATTAATTTCACATTGTAATTGCATAAAATCTTGTAGATGAGAACACATTATTGAATCGGTTTAATGAAATGATAAATCTGTTAATTTATAGGAAATGTTTTAATTGTCGTGGAATACTTTCAGATGCTAAATGAGTTTGGTACAGACCATGTATACAACATTGACACTTTCAATGAGATGCTTCCAAAGTCAAGGTATGTCTATTTAGTGACATTAAATATGTATATGTAAACTGATCATTCCTACCTTAATGCACTTATAATTGGTCATCATTTCTGTATTTTGCTTATTTTACCTTTTTTTCAAAAAAGGAAAATGCTATAATTAAGTCTGACATAAAAGTATGTTGTTTTATGGTTTTAATTTATCTATCTTCTAAATATGTAAACTTTTCCTTGTCAGGTTCTGTGTATGTTCAATGTTGATGTATGTTTTAGCTCACCAACCTACCTTGCTCAGTCAGCAAAGACTGTTTTTGAAGCCTTGACATCTGCAGACCAACAGGCAGTGTGGTAAGAATAAATTCAAATATCCTTTACCTTTGACTGTATAGATTAAATACTAATTCTATATGGATTAAATTCACTACTTGTATCATAACTGCTAACATACCTATTAATTAACTGACTAATAACCTTTAATGGCCAAACTCAACTTCTGGCAATACATTTTCATGTTTTTAACAAATACATTGTAATAAGTAATGGCCATTAAGTCATTATTATATTGATAATTCAAATATTTTCATTTAAAAGTTTTTAAAAAGTACATGGCCATGAAAACAAATTTTACTGTAAGTTACAGTAATGGTCATAAAGTGGTTATTAATAGCTATGACTTTTTCAAAACCTTGAAAAAGAAATTAATTAAGCAAGGTTTCCAGGAAAAATGACAATGTAATAGTAACTACAATTTGTTTTTATAATATTTTGACCATTATTTAAGAAATAAATGTGATTTGCCAAATATTTCAGATTACAGTTTATAGCCGTTATAATGGACATGATGCAATTTTATGTGGTTATATGGGATAAGATTGACAGTTGGGGAAATCTGGATCAGACTTCTTATCGGTGTATACATTTGATGTTTTAATGATTGAGCGACAGTATTATGTGTATTATCATATGTTAAAAAAAAAAGCTGTTCTTGAGAAATACTGTTTAGAATGATGTAATTTTGATATACAGTAATATATAAATGTATATATACAAATGTACAAGATTCTATTTTGGTCAGCTGTGTTATTTAATGTTAGTCTTCCATTCATTTTTTGGTATTTGTAGGTTGATGCAGGGATGGATATTTGAGAACTCTGTGGATTTCTGGAAATCTCCACAAATAAAGGCAGTGGTAACAGCTGTTCCTAAAGTAGGTCTGCATTGGCCGACTTATCTGTTAATTGGCAGACTGTTTTGATTGACTTACCTGTTAATTGGCAGACTGTTTTAACTGACTTACCTGTTAATTGGCAGACTGTTTTGACTGACTTACCTGTTAATTGGCCTACTGCTTTGATTTACTTACCTGTTAATTGACAGACTGTGTTAACTGACTTACCTGTTAATTGGCAGACTGTTTTAACTGACTTACCTGTTAATTGGCCTACTGCTTTGATTTACTTACCTGTTAATTGACAGACTGTGTTAACTGACTTACCTGTTAATTGGCAGACTGTTTTAACTGACTTACCTGTTAATTGGCAGACTGCTTTGACTGACTTACCTGTTAATTGGCCTACTGCTTTGATTTACTTACCTGTTAATTGACAGACTGTGTTAACTGACTTACCTGTTAATTGGCAGACTGTTTTAACTGACTTACCTGTTAATTGGCAGACTGCTTTGACTGACTTACCTGTTAATTGGCCTACTGCTTTGATTTACTTACCTGTTAATTGACAGACTGTGTTAACTGACTTACCTGTTAATTGGCAGACTGTTTTAACTGACTTACCTGTTAATTGGCAGACTGTTTTGACTGACTTACCTGTTAATTGGCCTACTGCTTTGATTTACTTACCTGTTAATTGACAGACTGTGTTAACTGACTTACCTGTTAATTGGCAGACTGTTTTAACTGACTTACCTGTTAATTGGCAGACTGCTTTGACTGACTTACCTGTTAATTGACAGACTGTTTTGACTGACTTACCTGTTAATTGGCCTACTGCTTTTACTGACTTACCTGTTAATTGGCAGACTGCTTTGGCTGACTTACCTGTTAATTGGCTGACTGCTTTGGCTGACTTACCTGTTAATTGGCAGACTGTTATGACTGACTTACCTGTTAATTGACAGACTGCTTTGGTTTACTGACATGCTAATCGGCATTCACAGTGTTTTGAGATACTTATACATTGTTTTTTTAGTATCTTGTCTTAAAACAAACTCATTACGTTGTGGTGCTTATCTAAAATATAAATTCAAATCTGTTTATAAAGGCCACCCAAGGGAGGTAACACACTTGGTTTGGATAGACGGGTTGCCATTACATAGAAAGTTCACTTTTAGTATTCATATTAAGATTCTAGATATAGAGATGTCATCTTTTTACTACAAGTGATATTTTAAACAAGTTTTTACTGAAAATATTTTGAAGCTAACAATTAAATTACTAAAAATATAATCAATTCTATCTAGATGGTAGAGATTGATCAATCTTTACCCAAAATCTCCAAAAATGTTTTCTAAGTCAGCAAATAAACATTGCTTTACAATTGGATTAAGGTAACATGCACTAAACCAAGAGAAATTCTGGTGTGCACAACTTTTGCTGAAGATTGTTTTGGTGAGACCGGTCTTAAGGCAATTAATACTGACCTACCTGTTATAGATATGTTCATTCTTTGGTATTACCACTTTATTGGTAGGCCATCTATGTTACAGGGGAGGATGATAATCTTAGAGCTATTTGCAGAGAACCGTCCCGTGTACCGTCACACAGAATCCTACTTTGGACAGCCGTTCATCTGGAGCATGCTGCACAACTTTGGAGGGACACTGGAACTGTACGGCAGCTTTGACAGCATCAACACTGTAGGTTATTTGTCAGAATTTTGTATCTGTCATTATTTCTGTAAGGATGCTGTATGAATTCATGTTTTTTGTGTGTTTAATTTCGATGCTTTGAAATCCTAGAATTTAGAGAAAATTCAATTTTAATGTCTAGTAGATTGCTGCTCTGTAACCCTGTTTTATATAACTGCCTTATTATTGTATTAACATATTTCTAACTATACAATTGTATTGTTGTCCATTGACTTACATAAAGAAGAATCTTTCTTTATTTGTATGGTGATCAAAGGCGTGGTACAACTACTAGGGAAAATATAGTGATCTTTGTACTTGATATAATGTAGGGTCCAGCTGCTGGTCGGAATTTCCCTAATAGCACCATGATAGGGATCGGAATGGCTCCTGAAGGGATCAATCAAAATGAAGTTATTTATGAGTTCATGGCTGAAAATGCCTGGGTCCCTCAGCCTCGAGATGTTTCTCAGTGGTAAGTAATCATGTGTCATACATATATTTATGATGTATAAAACTGGTATTAAAATGGTAACCACATTGAACATAAAATGTATAACATAAATATCGAATTATGAGAATGATATATGGAGAGATTATTTTAATTTAAATGTATTTGCCAATTTTTTTTTTAACTGAAAATAATAATTGCTATGTCATCCCTAGAATTGATAATAACAGCTAATGAAAACATATTTGTATTTGCAGGGAATTAATAGACAAAACATTAATTTTTTAAATTGTTTATAAATTGTTTATTGAAATTTGGTGGATGTGGGAGTGTTATATTAAACGTTCTGCTCAATTCCAATTTTATTAAATACTTTTTCTAGATACTGTTATGTATTTATACTGTTTTAAAAAATACACTGTCGGAGAGTCAACACTTCAACAAATTTTATGATTATCTCCCTTAGAACATACATAAACTTGTACTTCACACTGATGCATCTTGTATCAAATAGATGTAATTCAATATGTAAACATACAGTGTTTTTACATATATACATATAAAGTTATGACACAACATGATATAATCAGTTAAACAACCTTAAAAGTTGAACTGAATGTGTAGGTTTTATTCATAATTATTAACGTCAGTAAATTATAGCCATTCTGTTACATAGTACACAATAGTGTTTTGTGAAAGGAACATTTTAATCATATAATTTTTGAGTATTTTTATATGAACATGATTTTACTTGACAGATTTTGTCTGAAATTTATAGGAAATTAAATATTTCAACATTTCATCTTTGGTTTACTTATCATTTTATGATATATGTTTTAGTTAAATTAATCTATGTATGATATTAAAATATTTGAGGGTGGTGGAGTATGCTAGACGAAGATATGGGAAATCTAACAAGTACAGCTCAAAGGCTTGGCAGCTACTACGGGTAATGTCTTCTGGGTTTAATTGGTGAAAAGGACATGTATCTTGTCTTTCTAATTATCTGTGTTCATATAATTTCTTGAGAAAATAACCCGAAAAACTTAACACCACTTTTAGTATAAAGTAGATTGCTTTTCCTAAACTTTGCTTTTCCTAAACTTTACCAATGGTTTTGTTAATGTAATGTTTTGTTGTTTTTCTTTATTTTCTTCATTTATAATGATCATTTAGAGAATCGTCTGTAAGTAATGGTTTTGACATGTATTTTTCATATAATTTTACATGAGAACATGAGTGATACTGAATTACGTTGCCAAGTAACTAATTGTTAGACATATTAATTACCTTCTTGGATGCAAATTTTACTACATGTATATATACATCCATTCTATAAATCTTTTTATTTTTTTTATTTTGTCTTTGTTCCAATTTCCCAGAAAAGTGTATACAATAATACCGATGGACTTAAGGATAAAAGTAAACATGTAATACCGACGTCTCGCCCCTCCTGCCATCCACGACTGGCTCCCGACGTAAGTCTGACATCTCACTTGATGTGTAATCTTCAGGGTGTAATGTTATCAATGTGTTATTACAAAGACCTTGTTCTTCGTGTCATCAACATCTGAATATATAGTAGCAACATTTGTTTGCCTTCAATTTGTGTACAGTCTGTAAATGTGATAGAAGATGTATCAATGCTCGGCTTTGAGTGCAAATGTATAATATATCATGCCACATATCATCGTCACCTGTAGTAGCTACATTTGTACATGTGTATTTGTCTAAATTCTGTATACAATCTGTGTAATGTATCTTTCATGCTCAGCTTAAGGTGTATATGCAAATTTTCAAATGTTTAAATATGTCAAGTTGAAAGCACAAAAAAAGAGACAAATTTTCAAAATGTGTCAGGTTCCTTTTGAAAGGTAAAATGCTGCTAGTGTTGTTCTGGAGATACATGTATATGGGTATTAGCAGAATTGGAGGACATTGCGCATGCATGTCTAAATGAGCATCGTTCTGCCCCAAACTCATCAAAATCCAAAACCTTTTCACAGTTAAATTTTCAGTTTTATCGTTTTGGATATTCAATCCGTTTTATTGTGGTAAGCTTGACAGAATAGACTTACTCAAATTTCCTTGTTTGAAAATACAAATCTTTTTATAACAGGATCAGAGATATATTTAAAATTAAAAAAAGAATCTGTAAGTATTAAATTAATGATTTTAATAAATTTTGATGGACTTGGAGGGCACTATATATATACCATACATAGTTCTTTGTTCTAGGAATTTCAATATAAACTGGCAAAGTTTTCACAAAAATCACAATTGTTTTGTAAATAGGACCATTACAAACACAATAGAACCGAAAGTGAGAAACCAATTTTATATTCTGGACAGCTACATCATTCATATAGCAGTCGGGACTGTGCACAAGTTTGTTTCATTGACATATGAAGAAGATGTGTGTCCCCACTCCCCCATTAGTCATAATTTGGAATAGAAAATGAATTAGCAGAATTGAAGGACATTTAAGTGATCATATGTATCATGTTTTGTGATGACTTTGATAGTGAAAAAACTGTTCATTAACAGTAAGGTTACAATGTACTGTAGGTTTGGTACGACCCCGAGGATCTGTATATAAACAGTAAGGTTACCATGTACTGTAGGTTCGGTACGACCCAGAGGATCTGTATATTAACAGTAAGGTTACAATGTACTGTAGGTTCGGTACGACCCCGAGGATCTGTATATTAACAGTAAGGTTACAATGTACTGTAGGTTTGGTACGACCCCGAGGATCTGTATGAAGCTTGGGATAATTTAGTGCTAGCCGCTGACCAGCTCTGCAACAGCTCCTTATTCATGTAGGTTATGTCTTTTTTTAATCTTTAATGGGAAATTTTATCATCATCAGAATTGATAACACTGATCTTCACAGCTTGTTGGACTCTGATGTCCGAGGATGGTTGGATACCAGCAAACTGCGTTCTCTTTGGTGTCATTTCATGAAGATGTTGCAATATAACTGTGTAATAACAAAAGGATAAGAATACTGGGTGTCTTTCAGTCTGTCTGTCTGTACACACAAGTTTGTCTGTAGTAACCCTTAGCTTTGGCTTACAGTAATACTGTAGATAAACTTGTCCTGAGAGATCCATTCTGTCTACAGAGACACAATTAACTGGTGTGATAATAAGTGTTTGTAATTCATTACCCAAACATAAATACTGTATGTCTATACAGTAGGTTTAATATTTTGGAACAATACAGAGAAAATCACTTGAAATATATGAAACATATGACTATAGACCGTTTCTTATTGTTTAGAAATCCTTTGTTATTAAAAAAAAGAATAGTTTTGATATTGTGGAAATAAATAATTTAGATACTAATTTACATAATGAAAACTTTGACCAACATTGTTGATTTTTGACACATCTTCTGACACATGAATTGTTCTGGTAAAATTCATGGTACACTCATTAGCTAACCCATTAACAGGTACGATCTGGTGGATGTCACGAGGAACAGTCTTCAGGAGATTTCTCTGTCCTTCTATAACTCACTCATATCAGCCTTCACCCACAAAGATATTGATCAAGTCAGGTAACAAAATAAAATCTTGATCAATGTGGTACCTAAAATTTGTTTCTTTACAAAATATCCTAGTCCAGTTAAATTTGTGTAGTTCTGTCTCAGTTGAATGAAAGTTAAAGAAATGTATTTTTTTTATTCAAGAGATCTTTCTTTAAAAACAGAATAGTTGGGAAAGCTGCATATACAAACTGTAATGGATTTATTGTCAAATTTTCTTAATTATTACAATACTAATGTTGAAATAATGTTATCATTGGGATTTTTGAGTAAACAATGATCTGCTGAATATTTTTTTCAGTATTGATATTTTTTATTTGTGATTTTAAAAGTTTAAAAGGAGATAAACTGCTGGGCCTCTTGGCTGACATGGATATACTCCTGGGGTCAGAAGGTCACTTCCTGTTAGGGAAATGGATAAAGGCGGCAACAAATCTAGCTTTCAGACCTGAGGAAAGGAGGCTGTATGAATTCAATGCCAGGAACCAGATCACACTTTGGGGACCGACAGGCAATGTAAGCACATGTATTTCAGTATGATGATAGTTTTACTACAATGCTGTATGAACTGATAGAAGTGTACAATTAAGTCAGGTTATACTATTGTGTAAGTGTAAAGATCTTATGTCTAGTTGAAATTAGGTGTATAAATCATAGATAAGAGAATGTTAAAAAAATAGAAAAATAAATGACCATAAAAAATGAAGCTTAATGATTTGGTAAATTAGATTGCATCAATGTAGTTCTGTATATATGAAACAGCTGAAACAACAGTGATATTATATCTGTAATAATGTAGAAGTGTAGATGTGATTTTTTCTTCGAATAAACATGAAAGTGTTTTCAACGGTACATGTAGTACGTAGTGAAAGGTCATTGTCATATTAACTTGATGGTTTTGAAATCCTGTGTTATTTTGTTACAATAAGTGTGTCCTATTGATTGATATTCCAGCATTTAGACTACGCCAGCAAACAGTGGGCGGGACTTATACATAGGTAAGTATAATGTTTAAAAGTGTAACAAGTCAGAAATGTATGCTGTTAACTACTTGGACAAGGCAAAGATAGTCAGGAAGAATGTATGAAGATGAGTCAGCATTTCCTTCAAGTGAAATTGATTTGAAAGGACTTTTATAAGAAAATGATGTGACAGTCATCTGTATAAACAGTTTTCATCTTAACAAAGTCATCACCTGAATGTTTTCTCATAAAAAAACCTGAATTTAAGTAAGCATTACAGAAGAAGGGGAGATCAAATGTGTCTGTTAAATGGCAGTTTTTCTGAAGTTCAGCATCTCTCAGTTGATTAATTTGTTAAAAGGAATTCACTCGTCAAGCTATTCCGTGTTCGCATATTGCAGAGTTATCTTCTCTTGTGAGCAGGTATTGATTGTAACGTCATTGGTTTGTGTGAGAAAATTACGTTGTACTCTCAAAAATTGATGACGTTACTCTCACAAACAAATGATGTAACAATCAATACCTGCTTACAAGAGAAGATAACTCTGCAATACGCAAAGATGGAATAGGAGTATAATAAATAGATAGAAGGGAAGACCAAGCCACCACAACTGGGATATAATCAACATCTTTGCTTCAAAGCTAACATGTTTCAGCCCGCTAGCTGTACATGTGGGCTGTTGTCACAAAGATCTCGGAATAGTCCACCTACTTGTGGGCAAAAATATATATCAATGTTGAATTAAAGTTGCTGATTATATCCTGGTTGATGTTGTCCTAGTCCTCTTTCCTGTTTATGAATTAAGGTTATACGATGTATTGAAAACTTTTATCCAGAATCATTCCTACACACACTACTATTGTAGCAAGTTTTGTGTTACACTTATCAATATAATTATTATTATATCTTGACATTTTACCAGAAAATCAAAAGAACGTCACTGGTTATGAGTCATTTATATCAAATATTGATAAAAGACAATTACTCATGAAATATATTCTCAAATTTACTGCTAACTCTTATTTTTGTACCACTTAAAAAAAAGCTTCTTATTTACTTACATCGATACAAATTTGTTCATCATCAGCTACTACAGACCAAGATGGAAAGTTTTTGTTGAGGACTTAAAGTACAGTTTGCATTCAGTAAGTTTAGATTACGTGTTGGTCATTATTTTGAGGACAGTTCCGAGTAAATTGGCGACGCAAGAAGATGAAGTGCAGAAACAGTATCCTTGAAAGTCAAGCTTAGTGTTTATATGTTATTCATATTGATTGTGAAAGTTTTACAACATAAATATATATATATATGTGTATTTTATATTGATTTGTTAAGTGCACTAGAGCTGCTAGCTTCAGCCATATACAGCAGTGTTTTAATGGTTATTAGTATCATTATGTAATACCCATACACACGTATGTTTAAGATTTTGATAACACAATAGGGTCATGTATTTGATGTATCTTCTGCGAAGATTATAAAATACCAAGGAACCTAAGAAAAAGAATTGCTACATGTATGTGTAGTTTGACTTTTTTGAGATAAGTTCATGCCAGGAAACAAATACGGTTTAGTTTTACGCAAGAACTATCACTAACAGGTTGATTGAGTATGTTTGTAGTACTCTGATCAGCTTCCTTTTATTAAAACCTTGTTATATTGCAATAATTCATCCAGCAAACATTTGGTAATATCGAGGGTTTTGATTTACATCGACAGAAAGGAAATTTTAAAAAGGAAGAAAAATTGGACATTGAAATGTGTTTCATGTAACAATAAGTGAAATGGCAAATGAAAGTGGGGCATAATATCAAGGTTTTATCAAACTATTACTTTTTTGTAGAGTTTTAGTTACGATAGGATGTTCAAACTTGTTACAGGGAACTACATTTAATCAAAGTGACTTTGATATAAAAGTTTTCAACACGATAGAGCTTCCCTTTTCTACCAGTACACAGACCTTTCCAACTGTCCCATCAGGTAAGTTTTCTGGACCAACCAACTTGGAATTTTAAAATAAAAATTCATAAATTGTAACTTAAGTTTGGATTATTATGAAGAAGGTAAGAGTCCAGTTTCATAGGGGGTATTAAAAAATGGAAAATTTAAAACCTGTTTACTAACTTTTCTTATAGGAAACAAAAATATAATGATACTTAAAAAATAATGGTAAAGCACTGGCAACCTGAACTTATCTGACTCAGTTGATTTCAGTTGATTACCCACATCATTATTGATGAAGTTAATTAGGAACCCAATTTGTGTCGTGTGTGTATCATTTGGGCAATAAGTATTTTAGCAAATGTTGTTATTGATGACAAAGTTAATAAAGCCCAATAGGGCTCTATGTAAGCTTGTCAGCAATAGAAATGTGTTAAAGGACCATAACAGTATTTGCTAAAAGATTCATTATTTATATTTACATTTTGAAAGAGTAGTTACGCTTTGTTATTTCGAACAGCAAATTAAGTGTTGACAACAATGAAATTGATGACGTCACAGTAGAGATTGATGACGTTACAAAAGCAAATGTTGTTATAGTCTCATAACAATATTTGCCTTCTCAATGCATTGTAATGGAAGGATGCAGAGCAAATGTAAATATGGTATATTGTTACAGATTTTTTAGGACACTAATCACTACTTCTTTTCATCGAGTGTCTTATACGATAGCATGTTATTAGTAGGCCACTTCACTGTATATTGATAAAATAATGAATCTGATTGATGTTTTTTTTAAATTTTAGAAACAAATTAATGATATTATTTATTGTTAACTCTGATTTTTTCCCTAAAGTTCGACAAATGGTGTTTTTGTAGGAAATATAAATATCTAAGTGTAATACATTTCATTTTTCCAGGAAACACTATCTTGATAGTAAAACAGATTCACAAAAGATATCGACAAGAAAAGATCTACAAAGATCTCCGCGAGAAAGGATGATAAGGAAGTGGATCTCTTGGTGGTGTGTCATAGCTTCTGGATATAAAGAAAAAACACTTTGTATGAGAGATTGAGTGACATCTGTCCATAGTGATTATGTAAGCTGTTATGGACTAGCACAGTATTTCCTACAATATGGGTAAAATAAGGGAAACAAGATACGTCCATCAGTCTAAATAACAATATATTTGTTATTTTGTTGTGTGTAAATTCATTTGACATAATGAAATGATAAGTTTTGTAGACTTTTCAATGATAAATAATAAATGAAACCTAGATACAACAATACATGGAAACCTTTCTTCATTTAGTGATTAAAACAGAGAATTATCATTCATTAACAGATAAAGAAAGGGGTGTAGTGGAATCGCATTGTCTGTTGAAATGTATTTTTCTTATGCCATAACTTTGATACAATTGTATCTTCATTTAGAGAACTTCTAGCACAATACCTCTATACTTGACCAAGACTATTATGCATTGTTTTGTTTAAGAGTTAGGAAGAGCTCTTTGTTGTTCAGAATGATAACATTTTTACCCTGCGTTTCAAAATGTCACAGACACCTGATTTTTACAGTTTTGGTGATTTTCGTATTGTGCAAAAAAAGACTTCAGTCGTCTGTCCTTCCGTCAGTCAATATTTTCCTCCCAGTGGTCATCTAAATATTAATGCATAATTGTTGTAGAAGTTTCACTGGATGTAGTTTGTATCAACGATATCATTTCCGCATATGATTTTGGACAAACGTTTTAATTATTCAGTAAAGAAAGGGCCGTTAACTTGTGGAGTTTTACTGTCTCTTGTCATAAAATGACGACATTTAAAGTTAAAATTCAAGCGCAAATTGCATATTGAAGATTACTTTGAAACACAGGTACTAGCCTCGTCTGTCAATGCACCTTTATTATGGTAGCCCGAGTTTCCTCTGACACCAGACTGACTTTTTGACAGATAGATGGCTGGTGTGAGCAACATGGATTATTACGCTATTTATATAGGCTTTGCGCGCACGTATGGTATTTTCCAACAGAAATACGCTCTTTCAAATACCTTTCATGCAAATGTACAGTTAGACAAGCGAGTCGCTAAACTTGTTTCATTTGTCGAATAAGGATACCTGTATTAAATGTTGTATACATGTATTTGAAGATTTGGTAGCGAACGAAAATAAACATATATTTTACCTCTCGGTCTTCTTAAAGGTCATGCATGGTCAGAATGTTCGGCTGATCGTACCACCAACTTGACTTGAAATACTGTTTCTAAATCTGTCAACAGCTAATTTCATGTTTTGACGAGCAAGCAGAGTTTCCTCTGGCCCTAACACTAGACTTAGACATTTTGACAGATAGATATCTGGTGTGACATCTTTCTGTCAAAATGTCTTAGTTTGGTGTCAGGGCCAGAGGACACTCGGGCTTTGTCGATAGATTGGTGGATTTGATTGATTGAAACAAGGAATTAACTTAAAATGCTATCTAAGTCCGTGTTAATATCAAAGATTTACTTTATACACAAACAATGTAGGTATTAAACGTATTTCCTGTCTGTCGCTTTTAGTTTTTGTTCACTTGGAAGACCCCTGCTGTCTCTTTCTCTAACCAGAACAATATGACGTCTGTTAGGAAAGCTTAAAATCACAAAAATAATTCATCAAGCAATGGATTTATACGATATTTTAATTATAAATAATCACTTCTAAATGCTTATGAGAATGCTATAAACTATACAAATATAAGTCTATAGTAGTCACATTGAAAACAAACAGTACGTTATTTGCTGAGGCAAAATCACATTTTATGTTAGATATATTAAATCTTGTTGATATTGAGTATATTAAATCTAACTGAAATGTATATATAAGTGCTGTTAAAGACGACTGTTAAATTCTTGAGTAATCGAAATATCGTTATATGAACGTGCTCAAATACTCTTACGACCAACTTCTTAACAGCGCATTATTTCAGTGTTGAAATATAAATGTATATCATATTTCAGTAACCTGACAATAAAATATATATATGCATGACTTTTAAGTTACTCTGTCTTAGTCATCTTTCAGTCTCCTAAATTTATAATAGTTGTATCTATATCAACGGACCTCCAAATAAGGGAAGGTTTACATAAGTTTTTTTTAGCATAATGGACTAGCTCTAGATAGTGCATTAGTAAACGTTTTTGTGCCCACGAGATGAAAGGTGGTTTCTAGCGGATTCAGGCACAGTTTTAGGCTGAGCTACTTCAGTAGGTCTGCGCCTATTGTTATCCTTGATTTGCTCGCAGTCATCTGCCGATTCCTGTCAAATGATTGGCTGAATCTGTCGATTTTCACCACTACGCCCCCTATGATTTAGTTCAGATTACCCCCAGATTTCAAAATAATATCCTTTGTGTATGAAATCAATATAAAATCTTACAATGTTTGACAGAATTCTGTCAACCTGGTATGGTTATATATTCCTAACATTAATAAGAATGGAATTCGCGTCAAGAACGATATTGGTATTACTAAACGTGGATTGTATCAAGTGTACATGTGTTTATTAGTCACGGTAATCCTCCGGTCAGTCCAAATAGGCGGATAATTCGAACACGCATTTGAACAATAAAAACAATAGTTTCCTGTCTAGTGATAGTTCAAACCCTCCTAACTCACATTTCGGATTATTCGAATACAAAATTTGACCGCTAAATTGTAGCGATTGTAGCTGATCTTTCCTCTTTCCTGTGAAACAATCATAGCCTCGCTCATTCTCTCAAACTGATCTATTTGTACAACGACAGCATTTTATAACCGAGTAACGGGTAGTTCTCAAGATGTGAAACCGTGGAGGTCAACTAATAGGATTTTTTTTACATGAACACGCACATGTTAGTTTGATATGATTAAGTTTCTTTCCTACAAAAATATGCACGCGCTTTTCAAAATCTATAGGCCCCAACCTTGTATAACATGCTATCAATAATAGCGACCTGGGCACCGATCTCTGAATCATTACTTAATTGATATGTTACCTATACATGTGCCAAATAAAACAGGTTTTATCAGGTGGTTGATCAAACTAATCCTGATACATTGCAATTGAACTTCCGCCAATACTCGATAAACATGTACTGCTTTGTGGCCTACATACTCGCCTCTGCTTTGATTAAGTGAAAGTTGAACTTGATAATTGATTATTAATATGTAAGTAAGCATAAGAAAAATATGTATACATGTACCACTATTCCTCGCCAGATTTGCAAATATATCGCAATAGGCCGCCGTTGTCCCGTATCAACGACTTGGCTGATTTTTGTCGATGTCGGCTCGGACTGTTAACCTGAATTTGAACAAGAGTGACAATGCTTATTACATCTTGCTCGACCTGATCACAGGGTCTGATTGTGCTGTGACCGATATCAGTATTACATATGCTATTGTAGTCTGTTATATACTGTAGCGAACTCCATGTACAGAGATTAAATTTCAAATCGTATGACCTTAGAGACCATGAAATAAAGCAAATAACTCCCTTAGCTTCCTAAAAGATCCCTGAAAATCCGTTCAACAAAGGTTAAAGAACAAACACATTGATTACATATACAGGACTAGCTCTTTGGAAAAACTTTCGTTCTGTTTCAGATTCAGTCTCAATTCCCTTATTAAAACAATTATATGGTAAATAAAAGAAAGACACAGTCATGAGTCTGACAATGCAGTACACCTAGTGAATATGACAACATTACGCTCACTTGGTGCAGCTTTTCCGTTCCAATAGTAGAAAAGAGGATAATTTTAGTTAACACACGTAAAAGCAGATGTTGAGCAGCAAATAACATTAAAATTCTGGTACATTGTCTACAATTTATGTATAACAAAATGTACGCCCTATATCACTAACTTAAGAAAAGTTTGAAATGGATGTAATACGATGTATGTTAATCATTTTACGCCGAAGTCAGTCTAAACCCTATGGCCATTAAAACATTGAAATAAAATAAAGTTAAATTGATTAATGAGAAACGAGCACTACAGTTATTACATGTATATGCAATTCAATAATAATAATGTTTAGTCTCCTTATGTAAAAGCTTGCGATATGCATTTCAGTATCTAGTTCCCTTTAGATAAATACTACATGTGATGTTTCAAAATTAGAAAATAACGATTCTTTTGGTCTAGAAGGGTTAATTACTTTAGATGAAGCAACGAAAACTTTGAAAAATATGAAAAATAACAAAAGTCCCGGTTCTGATGGGTTTACTGTAGAATTTTTTAAGTGTTTCTGGAAACAGCTAGGTGGGTTCATTGTTAGATCTATATACATTGTGGGTAAAGGAAAGGTTTGCTATCAGTAACACAAAGGCAAGGTATTAATAACATGTATTCCCTAGGGAGATAAACCTAGGCAGTTCATAAAAAATTGGCGACCCATAACATTATTGAATATAGTCTATAAAATAGCGTCTGGATCGATAGCAGGTAGAATTAGAACAGTTTTAGATAAATTAATTAGTGAAGATCAAACAGGATTTCTTTCAGGCCGTTATATAGGGGAAAATACTAGATTAGTTTATGACATTATGCAATATGCAGAAGAAAGATATATTCCAGGTATGTTATTAATGGTAGATTTTGAGAAAGCATTCGACTCAGTCTCATGGGAATTTGTTGATAAAGTTTTAAATTATTTTAATTTTGGTTCTGATATTAGATGCTGG